TAATCAACACAGTGTTAACGGCATAATACACTACAGTATGTATTTACTGTACAGCATTCACAACTCCATGAGACTTCAAGATGGACATAACTCCAACAATAAGGTAAATAACAAATGTAACAGTATTTTTTAGTAGGGTAATAATATATAGGTACAGAATATAATATGATAATGCATTTTTATTGTGTACAAGAAAAGAGAGAGAGTGGCACAAATGCCTCCTGATGGTCACCTCTTGCAATGCACCCAACGCTCCAACGCACTGGTGTTGGTCCCATATAGTACGTTGAATCGAGATTGTACTGTACTGATGGTCTTGGCCTCCACCACCTTCTCACCTAACTTGTTCCAACCGTCTACCACTCTGTTTGCAAAAGTGAATTTTCTTATATTTCTTCGGCATCTGTGTTTAGCTAGTTTAAATCTATGACCTCTTGTTCTTGAAGTGCCAGGTCTCAGGAAATCTTCCCTGTCGATTTTATCAATTCCTCTTACTATTTTGTAAGTAGTGATCATATCACTTCTTTTTCTTCTGTCTTCTAGTTTTGGCATATTTAATGCCTCTAACCTCTCTTCATAGCTCTGGCCCTTCAGTTCTGGGAGCCACTTAGTAGCATGTCTCTGCACCTTTTCCAGTTTGTTGATGTGCTTCTTAAGATATGGGCACCACACAACCGCTGCATATTCTAGCTTTGGCCTAACAAAAGGCGTGAACAATTTCTTTAGTATTTCGCCATCCATGTATTTAAAAGCAATTCTGAAGTTAGAAAGTGTGGCATAGGCTCCTCGCACAACGTTCTTTATGTGGTCCTCAGGTGATAGTTTTTTATCTAGAACCACCCCTAGATCTCTTTATCAGAATTCATTAAAGATTTCTCACATAATTTACAGGTTGTGTGGGGTCTATGTTCTCCTATTCCACATTCCATAACATGGCATTTATTCACATTAAATTCCATTTGCCAAGTGATGCTCCATATACTTATTTTGTCCAGGTCTTCTTGAAGGGCATGACAATCATCTAAGTTTCTTATCCTTCCTATTATCTTAGCATCATCAACAAACATGTTCATATAATTCTGTATACCAATTGGTAGATCATTTATGTAGACAATAAACATCACTGGTGCAAGAACTGAACCCTGTGGTACTCCACTTGTGACATTTTTCCAGTCCGATACATTGCCTCTGATTACTGCCCTCATTTTTCTATCAGTAAAATTTTCATCCATGTTAGAAGGTTACCTGTCACCCCTCTAATATTTTCCAGTTTCCAGAACAACCTCTTATGTGGAACTCTGTCAAAAGCCTTTTTTAGGTCCAGATAGATGCAGTCAACCCAACCATTTCTTTCCTGTAAAATCTCTGTGGCTCGATCGTAGAAACTGAGTAAATTCGATAAACAGGATCTTCCAGGTGTAAACCATACTGTCTGTCTAATATTATATCATTTCTCTCCAGGTGTTCTACCCATTTAGTTTTTATTATTTTTTCCAATATTTTAACTATTACACTTGTCAATGATACAGGTCTATAATTGAGGGGGTCTTCCCTGCTGCCACTTTTGTAGATTGGAACTATGTTAGCCTTTTTCCACACGTCTGCTACGACTCCTGTACACAGGGATGCCTGAAAGATCAGGTGAAGTGGAATGCTGAGCTCAGGTGCACATTCTCTCAGAACCCATGGTGAAACTCCATCTGGGCCAACTGCTTTATTCTTACTGAGCTTTAGCATATTTTCCACTTCATCTCTAGACACCTCTATATGCTCTATGTTGTTCTCTGGAATTTTATTGTGTCTGGTTCTCTGAAGATTTCATTTTGTACAAACACACTTTGGAAGAAAGTGTGTATTGTTTGTTTGGTTTCTTTCTAGGGGAGTTATTTTTATCTTTTCAGGTGTAGATTGCAATGTTAACCAGACAGTGGCCTATTTTGATTCACCTACCTTTCTGGGTCCTTCCCCAGTTGATGGCAATTATGACATACTTTAAATGTAAAGTGCTCATAAGCTACTGCTTCCTGGGGCCTCTCTGAAGGGGAAAGGGGATCCAGGTTCTGACTTGTGGTCCCCAGTAGACAAGGACTACTGTGACTGATGACCCCAAATATAGCATACATCAGTTCGGATAGAATCAAAGAACCGACGGGGGTTCCCCACAGAAAACACCAGAGTACATGTAGGCATTTCAAGACGAAGTGGAAAATTTACTCAAAGGGCTAAATAGAAATAAAGCTGTTGGACCAAATGGAGTTGCATTCCAGGTTAGTGACATGCTGACAATTAAACCTGCTGTCATGATGCATGATTATGTTCTGATTAAGTCCAGATGGGTGGAAAAATCTGTTAACAATTTTGAGCCTACAACATGTTCACTGCCAACTTAGAGGTCACCCCCCGACGTGCGGGCGAGTGTGCGGGCAAGCGCGCGGCGACACCGAAACACGTATACTCGTTTCAGTTCTCTCACTTTAATTCTCATGTTACGTCGTTCGTTTTGGTATAATTGTGTTCGCAATTAAATTCCCTGCAGATGTATATGCATATAATGTCCAAAAGCCTGGTGAGACTCCCTGCAGCAAAGCCTAAAGTTACCCTTGAATGAGCACCAATTTGCACACCGCAACCTAATGTGTATACTCGTTCAGTTTGATAACATCAATTTTCGTGTTATGTCACTCGTTTTGGTATCAAATTGTTTGCAATATAAAGGCGCGTATTTTAAAACTAGTCCCATAATAATAGAGCAATAACTGGAATTTTAACAAATATTTTAATTTTGGATGCTCATCACCACAAAATTATTTATATCATTCCAGTGTTCCGACATAAATTTTTGATACATCTTTCATTTTGGTATTAAATTGTGCGCACCCTAAAGGCACTCATTTTGAAACTCCCCAAGTCGGTCGGATAAAAAATGAATTTGATACAAATATTTTTGTATTGGACGCAACAACAGGCCAAGGCTACGACTCCAGAGAAAAAAAGTGGACGCGAGCGATGTCCAAAGAGTGTGATAGTGTTAATTAACACTATCACACTCTTTGGACACCGCTCGCGTCCACTTTCCTTTCTATTGCAAAAATTAAAATTTTAATAGCAAATGGTTGTTAATGTTTTTTCAATAAAAATTAGAGATGTGTTTTGTTTTACCCTGTACAGGTAATGTATTTTTTTTTATTTCTAACCACTTGACTGCGCCAACCGAGTATTCTCGGTCGGCGGGAAACTGCGCCAACCGAGAAAACTCTTTGACTTTTCGTAACCAATTCTAAATGTGTACGAGGTTGGTTGTGTACGAAATGGACTCTTAGGACCTCCAGTGGGAGGCAGCCATCTTGGAAAAAAATCCCAGAATGCCCTAGGCTGCTGGCTGGGTTAGTATTGAATGAGCAACCATGGGTGGCGCACGCGCCTCTGGCTCCCAAACACCTGTCTGACGGGGTGTTAAAAGATAACGCTCTGTCGGTGAAATTCAAGCCTTATTGTTTGAAGAACATAAGGGTCATAATATTGATGAAGCTAGGCGCAATAAGGACCTAACACAAAGGTCGGATGCAAGTGATACAGCACCTATGAGGATGATACAGTGAGCGTATCCAGTTGTAGCACTGAGCGTCACCCTTGCAATCCTATGCTATCTACAATTATTTAGATGAAACACAATGTAGATGAATCGTTTTCTGCGTTCAGTGATGATGCATCTGATACAAGTAGCATAGATGAACAGTGTTAGCAGCTTCCATGATGGTGTTTTCCATAGATATATTCAAGAATACCTGAATCTTTTCTAACTGACAGACACTCATGAGGTAAGCTGAATCTCTTCCTGTGTGGGACTATACAAAGCGATCTTTTCAAGACTACCTTACAAATCGATCTTTTCCTATAATCTTTTCAATACTACCTTATGCTTTACAAGCTTGGCTACATACAACCTACCAGTACTAAAGCCAAGGGTGTACGTGAGTGCGTTATTTGCAAGCACACAGAATGAAGAAACAGGAAGCGAAAATTTGTCTGTACCTGGTGCACTGAGAGCGAAGTCACGCTGTGTACCATGGGCTACTTCATTGATTATTACTCCCTTCCGAAGTACTGAGTGTGTAATACAGTGTGTTACTGTGTAAATGGTGTGTGAAACTGTACATATTGTAATTTCAGCGAAGTTTTAACAGGTAATATTGCGATAATAAATATTTATTGTGGACACATTACTGACATATGTATCAAAGTTCCATGGAACATTATGAACGTTCTACTGTATACATATTGTAAAAGACACAAATATGCATCATATACGATAAAAAACTAATAAAACTGTATTGGAAATACATAAAACATTGTAAATATATTTGTGGCAATACCCGGTGCTTGAATGGCCCGTGCGACCATGTCTGGGCGATTCATACACAGGCGACCAGGCCCTGATGATGTCACAGCGCACCTTGTCCACGTCCCCACAGCCAAAGTAAGTGGAATTTGGTATTTATTTTTACATAGACATGTTCAGGGAAGGGAATTTATCATTTTATGAAGAAAAAAGAATTTTTTGGGAACACTTTATTTCATGCGCACCGAGGGAATTTCACAATAAACTCAGCGCAGCACGGTGGTTAATGTTATGCTAACGGTGGCTGTGGTGGAGCCTTGCAATGGCTATGAAGCCTGGACACTAATCAAGAGCCAAGATGAAATCTTGTGAGTTTACTTTTTGGGGCTAATGATAGAATACACAGTTACAGGGACTAATATATAGCTATTGTTGAAAACTGAATGGTGATGTGCCAGACATGGGGCCTCCTCTATTTACTAAGTCCCTATAAAGAAAGTGAGGGACTCAGATTTTTTGTTCAAGATGGGTGATGGTTACAAGAGGCCTGAGGAAGCAAATGTGAGCCTAGTCTATACATGTGTTTTAGATTTTATGACAGGCCTAAAACATTGGTGGTCAAGGTGCGCATTGCAGGGGTTAAGCCACTTGTGCCACTAACCTGTTGAACAGCAATTGGTGACTCTGTGATATCCAGGAGCTTGATGCCACCATCTTTACGGGTGACTGTGGAACGTACCAGCGGCCGGCTTACTGGGGTGGAACCCAAACCTGAACCTCTCAGTCCAGAGCCTGGCAACCGGCTGGGAATGCCCTTCAATGGTGCTGTTGGAAAAAGAAATATTGAATGGCTAGCCACTTGAACCTGGCTATCATAGTGTACACAACACAATTGATCTTTTTGAATACTGTATTATTAACATCACGTTTGTAATACCTAGAATAGACAGTAAAATCAAGTATCTATTGTTTCTAGTTCTTCTGTTGAGTTCCTGAAGACAGAAGTGAAACAATTCAGTGAGGATACAGAATAACTAAAGCCTTCATGCCCCTCATACTACTCAAACTATAATGCATTAGTACTGTGCTAAAGTTGTAAAGGAATTTAAATTTGCATTACTCCAATAAATACCCACTAAATATATTTGAAGATATAAACCAGATATTTTGGTTATTAACTACCTAAATTAATGCCCAAGAAAAAATACGTACTATAGAACGTATTCCCTCCCAGGAGCTCTCGATCTGAAGGTGGTTACAGGAGGCTAAAATCACCATGAAAACTTTCACATCCATGCTCTCTAGACTCCTCCCTCACTACCCTTTCTTTCATATGTAATTACACTCTTCCCCTCCAAGATAAGTGCCACCTACCTCTACCATATGATCTTATTTCAATCTTGTAGACACTCTAGCATCCTACAAATATGTCCATACTACCTCAGTGTAAAGTACCTAACCTCCCCAACTCCATATTTCCTTTCCTCATCCTTTATATCATACAACATAAGAATAAAGTAAATTGCAGGACAGTTGACCCATATAAGGCAGTTCCTAAATACAGATTATCCACCCAGACTCATTCACATGTGTCTAACCTGTACACTTGAAACACTCGGGTGATTCCACATCTGTTATGTTACCCACTAACATAATATTTCTTCACTGCAATATCCGTCCCACATATTTATACCAGCTGATGTTCTCGGAAAACTCATTTCCACTGCATGTACTCTTGGGTACTTTGCTCCTCTCCAAGACAAGTTTCACTTTCATATGTCAGGGCTTTCTTAAACTCTCTTAGTAGTGTAATAACAATCATTCCTTTCATTACAATATTCACCTCTTATACCACTACACACATATACATATACCTGTATATATAAAAAAGTACCAGGGAGGTACTTGCACAACCCTTATGCCCACCACAGCAATAAATTCCTCTCCTATTTTACCCATCATACATGCAGAAAATTAGTTGCAATACAGCTCGTCCTCGTAAGGTTTCCCAACATCAAGAAAACGGTCAATTTAAAGTGTCCTCTCCTAACATACCAGAGGACCCAAAACAGAAAACAGGACAGTACGTCACTTTCAAGAGCCACTCCCATTTTCTAATACGACAAGTTTTGGCCTTATGTAACACATATGAGCAAAAAGCGATGTTCTTTGTAGGAGGACAGGTTGTACAATAACAGAGCTGATGAAATGATGGGCCAAATGATCTATCAGAAAATGAAGAAAGACAATGTTTTGGTCCATCCTGTATTCTCTCACGCATGCTGTATTCTTCATATAAAATAATTTACTGCTGTTGATAAACTCTTTCATCAAACTGATCTTTAATATTTCCAACAATTCTTCAGTATCAATACTGTCACATTCACTTTCCTAAATCCATAACTTCCTCTCAAGCATACAACTTCCTCTCTATTAGAAAATTGTCAACCATTCTAACAGTAAGAATCTAATATGTGCATCTCCTCCACTTGAGAAAACCCACTGTTACTCCCTATCTGCACCGAATTATTTCTTTAACTCTCACAACTGCGCCCTTGTACACACTTTCTTGTAATAATAAACTAGCGTCCCCCATAACATTTTCCCAATCTTCCCCAATACCCTTTCCCTTATAGACCAAAATGACTTCATTCCAATCACCTAGCACCTCAATCTCCTGCCATACCATCTGATATACACCAACCATTATGTCCACTATCACCCCCTTCCCATACACCAACACAACTGGCTATTTCATCTATACCAAGAACCTTTTCCTTGTGTAACTTTCCTTCACAGAAAACATATTATTGCCTTCATCATTTGTAAATGTTACTCTTAAAATATTCACTACACCTCTTGGTAACATCACAAACATTTGTCAACGAAGTATCCCACTCGACTCCCGATAAAAACACAAATACTGTAATGTTACACAATTCCCCTGAATAGCCATGAAAACTGCCTCTTAACTCTTACCTTTGTCATTGATAGACTCATCATGACACTACTACACTCCACCTGGACCTTCAGTCATCATCAAAACATCCAAGAAAATCGAGCTCAAGCAAGTCTAGACAATAGCCCCAGGATACACCCCATACCCCAGGTGAGACCATTGCAGGTGCACCAACTGGTGGGTGGTTATAACCTGCAAACTGCTCATTATCCTTCCAGTGACTTGTTCCAGTTGACCGTTGACAAAGGATGTGACGTCACCATCAGGGGTACTACAAGTTCACCTGACCCCAGCCGTAACTTCAGTCTCTCTTCAGGTGCTCAAGAATTACGACATTACTAGCTGGCACGACACTAGACTGCTTCTCCAGACCTCGCTTCGTGTCCAGGTTATAACGTTTTGTACAGAGTAATCATTTACGTTTCAAGTATTATTTTCATTGTGTTAACGTAAGCTTTCCTATGATGTTTTGCTACTGTGTATCAGCCAAGTGTTGTAAGTCAGGGATTTTTGTAATTCAGGTGTTTTTGTTTATCTTTATTATAGAGTAAGTTGTTATATTATTTGTATGAGTATTACTCTTGCCCAATTCTCACACTGCAAAGGCCAATGCCTTTTATTTTATTTTAATGAACGTGTGCGCCACACTCCATCTGCCCGGTACAGCTGCGGTACTGTCTCACGTCACATGTATACATGCCTCAAGATAACAACAAAAGCAGCCACAATGGCAAGGGAAGCAAGCAAAAAGACTATTACAAAGAGATTTTAATCTCAAAGTATATGAAACATGAAGAGCAAAATTAGCAGACAAAGCCGATAAACATTTCAAGTGGGAGCATGAAAGAACCGACAAGATAACGACGAAAGGTTCCACCAGTATCCTTAGAATGCCATTTACCCAAAATGAAGATGTAGAGAAAATAAAATCTGAGGTGTCACTGGGAGCCAGTAACCAATGCATTAGTGTGTTACATTAAACTGTAGAACTGAAAGAGGGAGTGGAACCAAGAAACTGGATAGTGTGAGAGAACACACAAAACGGGAGCTACAGAAGGGTTAGTGATTATTTGTAGATGTTCAATCGAAGACTCAAATTGAAGGAAAGTCAGCGAACCAGATGACGCATTCATAAGCAGAAATGCTTAGAAGCAATAGTACAGTTCATACCTTTTTTAGCATGAACCCATCATTCAACACTTAGGTGGAAAAAGTGAAGCACAGAAAAAGTATAAGGACATAGGTACAGAGGTATAAAGAGAGGCACTTAAGAGGCCCAGGAATGGTGTTAGAAGTTACTACTGTCAACACAGATAACACAGCCCCAATGGCCCAGTCACTGGCCAGGCCATATTGCAGCAAGATCATGGGAAGTAGTAGTCCATTGTATTCCCACTACAGCCTCCTTTTTTTTTTTTTTTTTTAACTACATTTTCCATCTGCACGCTGCCCTTTACACAACCCACTGCTTTTTATGTCAACTTTATTTACCCACAAATTTCTCAAGACTTTCTGTAGCTCTTTTCTTACATTTTTTTTTTAAACTTGTATACAAAAAATATTATCAATCTTTTACACATTTGTCTCTCCCGTTCAATCAGGTGATTGCTGCTTCACTAACAATACTCAAATCAGTATGCATGATACGTCAGCGAATGTTTTTAAGTTTTTAGTTTTTTTCAAATTTGTAATCATACGAAGGTGGGTTGATATATATGTCAACAACTTAGAAACTAGTGAAAAATCTCTGGCTTCCTTACACACACAGGGAAAGGGAGTTCTTATTGGGAACAAAGTGAAGAAGAATACATTGTTACATACACACATGTATCACATCAACACAGCCCATCTTCAATAATCTTTAGCTTTGTTCACAATTTTCCAAAGTGTAATTCATTAATTGCAGCAAACTTATTTACACAAGACAACTCTTACATTTTATTTCTACACATTTATAATCAAACACTCTTGCTTCACTTCATTCTCTTCCCTTTGTCTCCATGTATATACCTATGTATAAATCAATGCTATATTGAAGAATCTGAGTAACAAATCCCTCTCCAAACACACATCCACCAAGAATCCACTTTCCAATTTACACCTAACAAGCCCCAATTTCCAAAATGTCTAAATTTAGTTTCTACCTTAGGATTCATATTCCTAGGCACAGTAACTTTCCAACCATCTTGCAGCTTCACTCAATGATTCAAATTTGTTAATAGCACTATCCACTCATTCTTTCCATCAACATTCTCTGTGCACAAAGGAGTACAGTACATGCATTTACAAGTATGCACACTATAATTCAGCTCAAAGTCCCAGATATTGTCACATTAACAGACGAATCTTGAAGAAAATATTTTAAATCAGGTCGTATTCCCAAGGGGCTACTCAGTTTGGAGACATGACAGGGAAAACTAGGAAGGGAAAGGAGTGGCTATACTGGTGAAAGAACACCTGAAAGTAAGAGAGTTAATATTTGAAAACCCTCGAGATATTGACATAATGGCATTGCAGATCTGGAATCAAGATGATAAGCTGATAATTTTAAATGCCTACAGCCCACCAACAAGCAACACATGGACAAAGGAAGAACTGGATGACAAACGAGAGGGCCTCATAATAGTCACGAGAGAGATTATGGTAAGAGCTGACAAAGATAAATCCTGATTGTTGGTACTGGGGACTTCAACTTTAAGTCAATAGACTGGGAGGCCTACGAGGCAAGAACAGAGAACATTTAGACAGGCAGATTTGCAAACCTCCTTTTGGAGACATTCATGTATCAACACGTCAAGTAGCCCACAAGAATGAGGGAAGAGGATGTTCCGTCAGTACTGGATCTAGTATTCCCTAGGAAAGAAGA